GGTCAGCCCGGAGAGGGGGGCAGCCCTGGTGTGATTGGGCTGAGATGTGAAGGAGATGTTGTAGGGTGGGATGTTTCTGTAGCATCAGGAGTCCCAGCGTGTCACCCTCCTAAAAAGGGGAGATTGGTGGGGTGAGAGGTGGCGGTGGGCTCAGGGCTTGAGGGAGCTGTGCCCCGGGAGATGCGCTGAGTGAGCGGTAGAGGCCTCAGGAAGGTCTCTTGAGAACCCCCAGAAGTAGGTTTGGGTGCTGGCCAGGAGGGAGGATGAAGGAAACCTGCCGGATCTGCGCCCGGGAGCTGTGTGGCAACCAGCGACGATGGATCTTCCACACGGCGGCCAAGCTGAACCTCCAGGTGCTGCTCTCCCACGTCCTGGGCAGGGAGCTGTGCCGGGATGGCAAATCTGAGTTCGTTTGCAGCAAGTGTGCCTTCATGCTGGACCGCATCTACAGGTTCGACACCGTCATCGCACGCATCGAAGCCCTCTCCATCGAGCGCCTGCAGAAACTGCTGCTGGAGAAAGACCGCCTCAAGTTCTGCATTGCAAGCATGTACCGCAGGAACAACGAAGACTCTAGCACAGATGACAGAGCTGGGGATGGGACTGTGGACCTGTCTAATTTGCCTGATGTGCGGTACGCTGCCCTCCTTCAGGAGGACTTTGCTTATTCTGGGTATGAATATTGGACGGATCAAGAAGAGCACAGCTTGGAGCCACACAGCTGCCATGCTTCAGAGGGAACAAGTAACCGCCCACGGCGCTGCCGTGGCTGTGCTGTGCTGCGGGTGGCCGATGCTGACTATGAAGCAATTTGCAAAGTGCCGCGAAAGGTGGCCAGAAGCATCTCCTGTGGGCTGTCCAGCCGGTGGTCGGCCAGCATGGGCAACGAGGAGTCATCCGTGTGCGATGCAGCAGAGTCCACCAGCACCAGAGGGCCTGTGGATGGGGAAAGCATGGAGGAAGGCACGCCTGTGTCCTCTGTTGAGTCCCTGGACACAACCGTGGAGGCGAGCCCTCCGCAGCAGAAGGACGAAGATGCAGATAAGGGGGTGAAAAGGAATGGGAAATGTGATGATTTCTCAGATGACCGCATAACCCCAAGCTCTTCGCTGAGCGGGAACAGGCTGGAGCTGGCCCTCAACTTGATCAAGGCTTTGGATTACAAACCCCTTCAGAGCCCCCAAGGCAGCAGGCTACCTATTCCTGTGAAGTCCAGCTTGCCCCATCCCAAGCTTAGCCATGACTTGGCAGATGGCAGCGCTTCTGCTGGCTTAGTGTGTGCTGGTTCTGCCTTCCTGAACGCAGACAGAAAATCCTTTTCCAGAGCTCCTTTGGGTCTTTCCCTGGAGATTTCTGAACTGCAGGAGCTGTGGGATGACCTCTGTGAGGATTATATGCCGCTGCGGGTACAGGTAGAGGTCATTGTGCCGCTGTTTGATTGAGCAGCGTCCCTGTGACCCAACGCTGAGCCCACTAGGGATTCTTCTGTGCTGAGATAATACAGATAGCCATGTGTCACTGAGCCCAGGGCTAAGAATAGGCAGCTCGGTCCTTTTTAGGTGTGCTGCCTCTCTCCTCTGTCATTCTGCTGTCGTCTGTTTCCTCCTTGTGTTCTGGGAAATTAACCCTCCCCCCCTCCATCAGCTCTTCCTGTGAATGCAGCCTGCTAGATGGGTCTAAGCTCTTTGCATGCTTTGTCATTTTTCTGTTGAGAAAACACCAGTTTCACTTCAGCTGTCTCTTTAAGAAGTCGGTGTGACTTTTACCCACAACTAAAGGGAGTGTTTTAAGCTTCTGGGCATGTGTTTTCCAGAAGTTGTCTTTTCTTTGTGCCTGGGTAATGGTTCAGTGTCAGGAACGCCTGCCTCCAGAGCCCTGCCTCTGCAGATCAGGCCTCCAACCTGCCTAACGTGCAGATCCGCACAGAGATCTGTGGCGCATGCCCTGAGGAAAAGGTGTGTTCCTTGCAGGTGGATTTGAGCCAGAGGATAACTTTAGGGTTGGTGTTCTAGATAATTGGTTTATTTGAAAAGATTCATCAATTAACAGCAGGTGTTGCTGAGAGGCGATGAAAGCTGCTTTCACGGGATTCGATGGTAGTCCTCATGTAGCTCTGGATTGCCTCTGTTTTGCTGGCTTTAGTGAAATCTTCATTAGTATGCAGTCAAAAAGCTGAACTTGTAACTCCTTTACCACTTCCCTTAATGAATAGAAGGCCTCAGTCAGCTTCAATTCAGGAATATCCATGTCAGCCTAATTGCATTCCCATTAGCAGCCTTAGTGCTCTCTAATGCTCTAGGTAGCCTGGGGGATTAGAAAAATGCTTGTTTATTACTATGGCAACTGTAGCTGTGCTGAATTATGCTTCCTATTCAGCCAGTGTGGCTTGCTGTCCCATCTGCCCAGGCGTTTCCCAGAGCTGTGTGCTTTTCCCATAAAAACCTGCTCAAGAGATGATGCTAGGGAGGAACATAGAAAAAACTAATTTTCATCTGGTGCACAGAGGCATCACGCTGGCAGCCACCAACTGAAGATGTGAAGCAGGGTAGATGTGCTGCTTCTGTAGACTGTGTTGCTTGCTGCTAATTTTCACCGCTAGGGATATATTTACAGCATAAAAATAGGCTTTCTCTTAACAGAACGTGGTGCAATCAACGTGGCGCATTTACGGCTTGGCTTTGTGTCACGCGTTGCCATCCTCCTCTTGGAACTGCTTTAGAGGAGTTTCTCCAACCTCCAGCCTCTGCCATCTGACTGTTCCTGCCAGGAATTCATCCTGCAGGATTTTTTACTGCCTGTTTCTTGCCGTGGCAGCAGCAGTTGTGGTCTTTGGTGCAGGGTCTGGCAGAAGGGGGAAAGCACTTAATTCTTCGGATGGCTTTAACAGCAAAAATGAGAAGTTGGATGCAGCTAGTAAACTAAATGGTTCTTGTATAAATGATATTTCTTTCTCTTCGTACAAGTAACACAGTTTCTAAAAGTCAGGTACTGCTGTCCAGCGATTCATATGCATAAATGCCTTTCTGGTAACGTGAAAGGAATATATAGGATATATAGGACCACAGTTCCCTTATTGCTTTTGGAAAACTGCAGTTCTCCTTTAAATTTACTGCTGTAAGCTACAATGACTGAAAGATCTGGTGTCAGGGCACATGATCTTGTAGGTACTGTCGTCTTGGGCATTTTCTTGAACCAACAATTCTTCCTTTTCATCACCACAACCCCAGGAAAATGCCATCAAACCCAGCCTTTGTCAGACACACGCTCGCAACTGCCTGCGGTGCCGTGCTGGCAGCGAGGGAAGCGTTGCCCTACTGACAGCTGGTCTTTTACCCACTGTTCTGGGCAGATGTGAGCTTGGCGGGCTTAGATAATGCTGTGATTATTGTCCTTATTTTTGGAAGAAGTGTTCTGTCTAGGTTAGTGTGTGCTGACATTGCTGGAGCTGTACTGAAGAGAGATTGTCAGTAAAATGCTGATGTAGGAAAAACCGCTGGGGAGCCGTGCTCTTCCTTCTGTGGCATGGCTGCGGGGAAGCACAAGGGAGGAGGGAGGCAGCTTGGGCTTTGGGACTTTGGACTCTGGAGCTGGCTCTGCCTTTCCCTTCCCTGCTCTTAACTCTTTGCAGGCTTTTTGCTTATTTTTCTTAGGAGTGTACAAATTGTGGGGAAAGGCGTGTTTTCCTTTCCCCTCCCCGGCCCCCCCCTCCCCATTTTCTTTTCATCAACCTTATTTCAAAATAGCTGTTGTGTGAGAGATTCCAGCAGCTCTCCCTGTCTGATCTGAAGCCTTCCAGCTGACCAAACGTGAAATTACTTGCTGTGACTGTTTAAGGTTTCACTAAAATCTTAACAAAACATCAGGGTAAAGGGAAGCATTGCTTCTGTGTGGAAGCTTCTGTATGTGAGAGGCAATGCACAGGCCTGGGGGAGCTCCCCTGTGCTGCCTGCCTTTCCCAGAGACAGCGTTTCTGTGGCTGCTGAAGATAAGGATTCAATCCGACAGGGCTGATCAGAGTTGACTGTTGTTCTCCCTGCACTGTGCTGCCTGGAGCTGGTGCTCCTCTGTGTGCTCTGAAAAGCTCTGTCATGTTCTCATAGCCTCTGTGCTGCAACCCTGCACTTGCCAGGACTCCCACTTGAAACAGACACCAGTACAATTGATCTCGTATCACTCGTAATATTCAGGAATACTTAACAAGTCCTGTGAGGGCTGGGGTGGGTAGCTGGTTTGAATGCTGCTGTTGGGAGTTAACAACTCACTAGGCGGGAGGTAGCACAAGAGTAAGAAGGGATGACAAGGGATTAGTGTGTGCTCAGCCAGCAGGGTCTGGCAGGCCACGTGTCAGAAAGTAGGCTGTTTCCATTCTCAATAAATGGGTATAGATCATGAAAAAAAATCTCAGCTGTGGCATTCAATTTGCTACGGCTTGTGGAGCTGCAGGGAATCGCACACCGCGTGGGTGCTGGAGCATGGGGAGCTGTGAAGGAGAGCCCAGAGAATCACAAGTGGAGGGGTTCAGAGCCGGGGGTGACTGCCAGGTCACAGCAGGAGGGTAGCTGCTGGGAAGGATTGAAGATTGTGGGCTTGATTAAAAAGGAGAAGCTTGGCAGAACATGGGAAGGACTTTGATTTGGTGCTGGCTTTGTTTTGAAGCTTTTTGAAGCTGCCAGCAGGGTATGTAGGAAGGAGAGGAGGTTTCGGAGACATGGCTTGGGTGTGGGGAGCAGATCCGTCATCAGCCTGCAGACAGTGGTTAGAGCCAGACAAGCTGCTGGGCTCACAGTACTGGAGTGAGGAGAGACAGGAGCCCAACCAGAGCCTCAGGGCAGCAGGGAACTTCTGGCAGGCCAGGCAGAGAGCTGCCAGGTGCCAGCCTGCCACCCAGGTGAAGGGAGACACGGGCAGCATGGTGTTTCGGAGACAGTTAGAAAAGCACAGTGGGGCGTGTTTAAGCCCATGCTGCAAGGTCTCTGAGGGCTGACAGCTGAATAGAAGAAGCCAGTGCAAGACTTGAGCCATTTCTCTCCTTTTTTTTCTCAGAATTTGCAGGATGAACATCAGCAGCCGGCTCCGGGTGACCCTGCAGTGGGGGAGCACGTGTCTGATCTGTGTGCTGCAGAGCTGCAGGGCAAAATCCAGCAGTTTGAAGCTGCCAACAAGGTATTTCTTCATGAACAGCAAATTCAGTGCCTAGTGAGCCTGATGTAGTTAGTATTGGAGGGTGCCTCCTAGCCTGGCCAGAGGCAGGCATCTGCACCTCTGTTCCAGCAAGGGTGTGTGTGCTGACATGTGATTCTCAGTGCTGTTGTCTGCCAGCTTGAGTTAAAAGCATTTACTTTTTTCTGCAGCTGTGCTGTGTAAATTTTCCATATTTTTTTTGGAAACCATTATTTTGGAAGAACTTCCCACTTGCCTGGTGAGCCTTTTGGGAGCTGGTGAAGGGGAGATGCACAGGGCTATTTCCCTGTCTCTTGGATTTGCATGGGCTGAGCCTGGTGCAGGAGAGGAGGGCACCTGCCTTTCGAGACAGCTGCCTTCTTTTTTGTAAGCAGTAAGGGAGATCAGCTCAGAGGGGTCCTGTTTTCATTTTGATTTAAAGGCTTTCTTAGGAAAGAAACATGCAGCTGAGTTGTCTTGAGGCAGATCAAATTTAACACATGTTGCGAGGGGTTGATGTTCTTAGTTATGCTCTTGAACTCTAAGGTAAGTTATACCCACTGGGAAAACAGAGGGATTAAATGGGGAAAAAACATCAGGATGGGATCTTTATTTAAATCTGGGGACAGCTGTAAGCTGTTGGAGCTGCCTGGACCACAAAGGTTGACAGGGAAATAAAGAGGCCCAAGGCCTAGAAAATGCAGTTGGAAGTGTTTAAACAGTTTAGGGCGAGTGTCTCTTAGAGAAGAGATAACATGACAGGTGTGTAAACTGATGAGCAACAAGAGGAAATCATGTGGCAGCACCAACTCCTTAAGAAATTGAGGCTTGAGTAAGTTCCAAGGAAGATGCGTATCATCCAAGACTAAGAATGCCAACAGGCAGCATGTTTAGAAATGCTAATAAGCAGTTGCCTAAATGCACAACGTGCGCTGCATCATGAACATTATGGTGAAAGCAGAGAACTGTCCTAAAACTGTTTGAGATGGTAGTTTCTTTAGGGTGAAAAAGTCTAAGGCAAAAGTTCCTCAGGTTGTAAACCAGACATGGAGACTAGTGAGACGTTCCTCTTTGCTTTGCAGCCATGCTGTTGGCGAGCTGGTACTGGCTAGACTCTGTTGTGCTGAAGCCAGAACTTGAGGCTAAATAAGCCACTGATCTGATTGAATGTAGAATTACCTAGACAAGCAGCTGCTGCAAGAGTGCCTGTGTGGTCGAAGGAGACAGTAAGAGAAGGGGCTAGAAGATTGTAAAGGGGCAGCTGCAATGCTCTGGAGGACCTCAGAAGCAAATGGGACAGTGTTTAGAATGTGTAGCTTCTCCATGTTGATTTTTTTTTTTTCAGATCTCTTGGGAGGTTTTTGGGCTGAAGCAGCCCCTTTCCTCTTAAGGGAACAGAAACAAATGATAGAAACTGGGAAGGCGCTGGGCAGTCCGAGCAAGACTCTCCTGGAGTATGTGGGAGGCAGTATGATGTGTGAACCCAAGCCTGGAACCTCCGCCCTGCACGTGGGGGCTGCATTGGAGGGACCAGAAGCACTGGAACAGTCCTGTGGAGGCACTGAAGGCTTTGTGTTTACTCACTGGTCTCCACCCAGCTCAAACAGTATTTACAGACTCTAGAGGGAGCCACGTTGATCTTGATCTGGTGAACACCTGGGCTGTAGGGACTTGAGTAAGGAGCAGAGGGAGTCCTAAGGGTGTTTATATAGAGCATTAGGCAGGATTAAAAAACCAATATATTTCTGTCTTCAGTTGTTACAGGAAAAGCTGAATGAATTGAATTTTGAATTAAAATCTGTCCAAGAAACATCGCAGAGGCAAGATCGTACAATCCAGAGTCTGAATGAGGCCCTGAAAAACAAAGAGAGTAAGGTAATAGTTTTGGGTGGACAGGGTGGTGCTCACTGAAAGAGGAAAGTGTGCTAGCCCTGTAGGCAGTGACTGAAAAAGAATGCTTAAGTCATTGCTAGGCATCCTGGATCTCATTAAATTACTTATTGCGAAGCTCTTAGTTTCGTGCAATGCTGACATGTATCATAATCCACGCTGGAGGCTTGGGACGGGAGGGTTTGTGCTTGGTTTGCCAATGACTGGGCTTCCTATCCTTTGACTTGTAGGCAGAAGAGCTGTACCATATCATCGAAGGGCAGAATGAAACAATGGCCAAGCTGCGGGACATGCTACAGAGAAGCCATCTGGGACAGTTGCAGGTATGTCCCTGGGAAGCCTCAAATACATCAGGTTTTGTTCTGCAGGGATCCTGATTTTTAAATCCCTCTCGTGAAGTGAATCTTTGAGTTTCTCTGCTTCCCACTCTTGTTAGATATCAGAGAGCCCACTCTCATCCCAGGAGCAGCAAATGTCACTGCTAGATCTTCAGAACACGCTTTTCTGCACCAAGCTGGAGCTGCGGAAGCTGAAAAGAACTCAGCGCCAGAAAGAGCATCAACTGGCTGAAGCCAGGAGAGCAACCCAGCTCCTAGAGACCATGGTGCATGAAGAAGAGCAGCAGAAAGAGGCAACCTGGAAACACAACCAGGTATGACAAGCACTTAGCCTGGAAGTCTCTGGGTTTACACAACTTAAGAAGCACTGTTGTAGTCAGTACTCTGCGCTCATTCATCATTTCTTGCCTACACCAGTCTGGGCACACTTGGCTAACCCCTTGTCACGTGTGTCCTTAGCTTCATATCTGAGGATTTAGAATCAGCAAAGACACTTGATAGCGGGTATGTTGTCCCTTGTATGTCTTTGGCTGGTGCAAATGTTCCATCTCTTTTTGTGATGTTACAAAGTTAATGCCCACTGCTGCACAGGTTAGCTATGATTGACTGTAAAGCTCTGTCTGTGGCCAGAGCAAGGGATTTAGATGGATGGATACCCTGGGAAATGAAATAAAGTCAAACTTCATCACCATGAAAGTGTGTTTTGAGATGTGAAAGCTGTAGTATTGCAAAGCATTTCTGGCTGTTCCCACAGCCCTTGTTGCTCTTGGCTTCTTCAGATTGGCCTGCTGTTTACAGGTCTGGTGAGGACTGACTGCCAAGGTGTGTGCTTTTCCTTTGCAGGAGCTGCGAGCTGTAGTACAGCAGCTGCAGGCAGAGCTGCAGGACAAGGCCCAGCAGCTCCAGACTGTGGAGTGGGAGAAATGCCGTGAGCTGCAGGCCCAGGAGCAGAGAGTTCAGCATTTGAGTCAGCATCTGGCTCGCAAGGAACAGCTTCTGCAGGTGAGATGCAGAAAGATTCAAGTTGAACGTAACTAGTCAGGGCGTCTGCTCCTCCTTTGACTTTTGCATCGCCAAGTACCAGCCTGTAGCTTTCACACATGCCCTTTGAAGAAGGGAAGGAAAGAGGTGCTTCTGGGCTCCCAAGATGAGGAATAAGGCACCAGTATCTGAGTACCTCAGCCCACGGCAATGCCTGGTGAGCCCTGGCAGGTACTAGTCAACCAGCCCCGCGTGCTGGGACTCTACCACTCTTTAATGTGCGGGGTAGAGCAAGTGTAGGGTGAAGGTAGTTAGCCCTGATTCTCTGTGCTGCTCTCTGGAGGGGTTTCTGGAATGACAGTTGTACTAGGGGTGTGTGTGTGCAACCTCTAGGAATCGAGGGAGCTTCTGCAATGCCAGCAAAACTTGGACAAGAGCCCTGCAGCCATGAATGTCATGTTGGAGAAACTGCAGCAGCGAGTCAGCGACAGGGATGCTGCTCTGGAGGTGAGCACACCTCTGTTGGTGATGTCTTAGTTTTCCCTGGGGCTCAGCCTTTGGGCTACCATCAGTGGTGCAGCCCCAGGCTGACCTCAGAGGTGACCATGTCTTCTACGTGCTCTTCATGGCTCAGTCTTCCAGAGGAGCCCTCTGAAAGGGAGAGCTGAGGTGCCCCACAAAGTGAGTGGTGGGCTGCAGAGCCCTACTACCCCATTCTGAGTGATCACCCCCTCTCACCCTAGCGAGCAGTAGATGAGAAGTTCTGTGCCCTGGAGAAGAAGGAGCAAGAGCTGCAACAGCTCCGTCTGTCAATAAGGGAGCGTGGAAGTGACCTGGAGAGGTTGCGCAATGTCCTATCCAGCAACGAGGCTACCATTCATGTGAGTGCTTGTTACCTGGGCATGCGGAGTCCAGCCTGGCTGTGGTGTGGTGCTAGACAAACCTTCCGGTGAATGCTCTGGTTGTTGCTGGGGAGAGTGGCTGCAGGGTGTTGGCTTTCCTCTGGCCTTGTGTGCGGGGCAAGTTCCTGGGTCACTCGTGTTTCTGGGCTGGGTGTAGAGGCGAGTGTGGTGTCTGGAGAGGACAGGTGTGAATCTATGTGACTCCACTAGCAGGAGAGGCTAGTATTTCCAGTTCTGCTTAATTCAGGATAAAGTCTCTGTCCCTGGTTGAGCTGCTTCTGTTGTGGTCCCCAGAGCCTGGAGAGCCTCCTGAAAGCCAAAACCCTGGAACTAGAGCAGGTGTCAGCAACCTGCCAAAACCTCCGCTGGCTCAAGGAGGAGATCGAGGCCAAATCCTGCAGCAGGCAGAAGGAGCAGGAGGGGATCATCCAGCAGCTGCAGACCTGCCTGCATGACAGGAACAAGGAAGTGGAGGTAAGGCCTTAGCTTGGCTTCCTGAGCCTTCAGCCAGTTTGTCTGCAGGGGGTGTGGTCCCAAACCAGAGCCTCCTGGCTGCCTGCCTCTGAGGAGGGCACTTGAACCTGTGCCCAGTGCTTTGGAAGCTGGCTGCTTTTGGCACCTGTAAATACCTGTGCTTTCTGAGACACTGCTTTCTCAGCTACACCCAGGCTGAAGAGCTGTTCCTCCCTGAACAGCTTGCAGTTTGATGGTAGCAATGTCTCTCCATCTCTCCCTTCCTTCCCCTTGTTCAGGAGCTTACAGCAACTCTGCTGTGCAAGCTGGGCCCAGGACAGAGTGAGGTAGCAGAGGAGCTGTGCCTGCGTCTCCAGCACAAGGAGAAAATGCTGCAGGATCTCCTCAGTGACAGGAACCATCAGACCATGGAGCATGATGCTGAAATCCGGGAGCTGCTGCTGGCCGTGAGCACCAAGGAGCAGCAGAGCAGAGTGAGTTGTGGGGAGGCCGGAGTTTATGGCTCTGCCTTGCATTAAGCAAATGGAAGCTGCTTTCTGGCTGCTGTTGGTGTAGCCTGGTGGAGCTGCTGAGTGTTGAAGAACCACATGAGATGCCATGAGCTGTTTCTAGGTTGGTCTCAACCTATCACATGGGAGCAGTTACAAAGCAGCAGCTCTTGTAGCAGTGTTCAGGTGTCAGGTTCCTGTCATTAAGTGGACTGGGCAGGGTTTGTGTGTGGTGGGGGAAGAAGTTCAGAGGTGCAGATCCTCCTCCATGCTCCTGGGCTTGGGGCAGCAGAGGGGCCATGGGAGGGATGCTGCTTCATGTGAGTGTTACCAGACCAGAAAGGAAGACTGAGCTATTTCTTGTGTAGCGCAGAAGTCTGAGGAGGCTCTGCTCATTGCCTCTTAACTTATACGTTAGTCAAACTAGTGCATGGTCCAGGGCATGTAAATGCCACTTAAAGAGCCACAGTTCCTACTCTGCCTACTCTTGCACACTGGGTGTGGTTCAGTGTTACCCAAGATACTTTGCATTGAGTTTCCTTTCATAAAAAGGGGGCTAAAAGGCCAAGCATTGTCTCCTCCTCTTTGTCTGTCCTCTGTCTTTCTCCCCTCCTGAATGGGGTGTGAGAAACTGAGGAGCTTGTTCCTCTGTAGGCAGAGAGGCTGAGCCTTGCTGCAGCTACCTGGAAGCAAAGATGGGAGGGCTGCAGTGGGGTTGCTGTGAGTGGCCAGGAGCAGCAGCTCCCAGGCTGGTTTGCAGATCACTTCTAGTCTCAAGTGACAGACAAATATTGAGATGGTTTCCCTTAGTCTGTAGGGAAGGCGAGGGACAGGGATCCTACCCCTGATCACAGCCCTGCCTTTCCCTATTTTTCCTTCTCAATCAGATGGCTGCTGAGAAGATGGCGCACGCTTTGGCTGAAAGGAGCTGCGAGTTACAACTCCTACGCCAGCATGTGTTGGGGAAGGAGCCTGTCGCGACCCAGTTAGCTGGTGCTAGGCTGTTGAAGCAGGACACACAGCCTATACAAGTAAGAATCGTGCACTGTGTTTCTCTGCCCATGGCCTCGGGGCTCCAGAGAGAACTGATTGCAACAGGAGGAAATGGGAGAGAGGGGAGCACCACAGAGAATGATAAAAATGAAAGTGAGATTAGGGAAGAGACTTCCTATAGGAGGAAGAGAAGAAACTGAGGAGCAGAAATGCTGCCTGGATGTTCTGATCTTGATTCCACCAGCCTTTGTCACTCAGTGTCTCCTTGCATTTTGATCAGGCAGTATTTGAGTCCTTAGGGCACGTGAGAGTATGAAAGAAATCCACCCTCTGACCTTCCAGCATTGACCCAGTCCTTCCTTGGGCTGGGCTGTCTCGCTGTATTGTAATCCTCTCCCTGACATTGTCACATTCTGGAGGGGACAAGAGAGCTAATTTTAGGTCCCACTAATTCTTGGCAGAATCTGCCGGCTGTTTGCTGTCTCTTCCACAATTGGAGTTGGTATTTTTAAAGCAGCTTTGCTAAAAACCCCTTCGAGGCTGAACACAACTCTGAGGCTACATATGCCACGCTCCTACTTGAGCAGCTGTTGATGGTTTATTGGTGAGCTGACATGTTGAATGTTTTTAAGCAGCTGTAAACAGGTTGCTCATTTCTATTCCCAGGATGAAAGTGAGCTCTGGAGACTTCCAGGGACGTGTATGTAGGCCAAGCTCTGTTTTTTCCTTCCTGCGTGGTCCCTCTGGGCCACATCCTTGGGTGAAGATGTAGGTCTTTGTAGAGTCTCAGTTGAAAGATGGGTTTGCTGCAGTTGAGTGAAACCTGTTTAATCCTTACTATGAAGACGCTCACTGCCAGCAACCTCCTAGTGCCAGATAAAACCAGGACAGAGCCCTGTTGCTCACACATACAGCTTCTAGGTTGGGTGCAATTCACTTGTCCCCGCTGCCTGGCTAGATCCCCTTCATTGGTTTCTCACATTTCAGAGCATCAACAAAGCAGCCAGCAGCTTTGCTGCAGTCCTGGGGCTCTGGGGAAGCTGCGAGTGCTAGGTTCCCCATAAAGGTGCAAACCTGAAGGCTTTTGTTTTTTCAGGAAATACTGCAAAGAGCTTGTGGGGCTACAGCCATTGCCGGACCCCAGCAAGGGGACAACAGCTGCAGGACAGAGGGAGGTGAGTGTGGTGACAGCTTCTTTCAAGGTCTCCAAACATGATCAGGGCTTTTTGCGGTGGGGGAAACATGGTTACATGAAACTGTGAGAGTGTAAAGAGCTTTGAGCAAGAGTGAATATTTTGAGCTGTGCCTCCTCTTTGGGTGATGGTTCAGGGATGTCTGGGGATGGGAGTATGGAAAAGAGAAAGGCTGGTGTTGGGTTTGAGGTTAGGTGCTTCTACTCAAGAGCTGATGCTGTCCAGTGAAGGGTTTTTGACTTTATGGTTCAGGCTGGACTGAGACAAGTGCAACTGGTTTGGGTTTTGCCTGTGGGCCAGGACACCTGATTTTTGCCAGGGGTGGGACAGCAGGCCTGGGACATTGCTGTTGCCTTGGGCTGCTGTTTAGGGATCAAGCAGGGAAGAAGAGTGTTTACTAAGAGGCAGTGTGATGGGGAGCACAAGCATCATAGACCTATCTTGCCAAAGAGGGATTCTGATCCTCGGGTCGGAGCTGACACATGGTAACCCTGCAGTAATCAAGCTGTCTTTGCAGTTACGGCATCAGCAGCAGAACTGGAGAAGGATCTTGTTAATGCCAAAGAGGAGCTGGAGCTAATGACAAAGAAGGAAAGGGAAAGCAGGGTGAGCTTGTGATAAAGCCTGTGCTGATCTCCCTTGCTTACAGGAGACCATTGGGCTGCCCCTCACTGGAGGTTTTGGACCCCCCTATTGTGAGGCTACCGCCAGTGAGAGAAATGGGGCAGCAGCTTGCAGTGGGGTTTTGGCTTTCTGAAGTCTTTCACGGACTTCTCTTCCCTCCCTAGCGGGAGCTGACTGCTCTCCAGTCTGTCGTGGCCACGCAGGAGGAAGAGCTGCAGGTGCAGGCCTCAGATATAGAGTCCTTGACCAGGACCATCCAGATCAAAGAGGACCTCATCAAGGTGAGAGAACGTGCTGTGCTGGGTCGGTTCCGCCTGGGAAGGCTGCAGATGAGTCTCTTCTTCTTTCCCCACATCCTGTACCTCATGCTCGCTCACTCACACTGAATGGCAAGACATAGAAACCAGCTGCAGGCTTTCTGTGATAGCCATGAGTGGGTACCCTCTGCTAAGGAGCAAAGGGCCTCCTCAGAGTAATGTGGCTGGCTGTCCATGGATGGTATTGCTGCTGGTTTGCCTACAGCCCTCTGTGTTACTTTGGCCAGAAGGCAAATGCCCCAAACCCCCAGAGTGGCACTATTTGGCTTTTTGCTCCTTGTGTACCAAACGCCCTTCTTTGAGAGTCCTTTAAACAGAGTGCGTTGTGTCCCTTCTCAGTTCCTGCTCCAGGCTGTTATCTGTGTCTAATACACCCTGGGTGCTTTGGCATTTCTTTCTCAGGAGACCTAGGTCTTTCCAAACACTGGAAACTTTTGGCAGTTGTGTTCCAGGGGGGATTACGAAGGTCCAGCTGTCCTTGTTACTGATCCCTTCTTCACTGAGCCCTCCTGCTCTTGGTTTTCAGGATCTGCAGATGCAGCTGGTGGATCCTGAAGAAATTCCAGCTGTAGAAAGGCTGACACAAGAAGTGCTGGTGCTTCGGGAGAAAGTGGCCACAGCAGAGTCACGAGGACAAGAGGCTACTGGAAACAGAAGGCAGCAGGTAGTGTGCCGTGCAGGGCAAGCTTGGATGTGTTTATATTTCTGCCGGCGCTAAGTTATGAGGCTTTCTTTTCAGCCTTTGGATATGTTGAGATGTGCTTGTTCTTGGAAGCTGGTTGTGTACAATAGGGGGAATACAAAGGAGGAGAGGATTGGTTCCCTTTAGCACTTGTCTCAAGGGCAGAGTTTTTTGGGAGTCTAAGGGTCACACTGATCAACTTGATCACTTGGACACAAGCAAGAGAGGAAGGGGAAGCCCCTGTTTCTCTGGAGCAGCCAGATGCCTCCTTCAATTTCTGTCTCTAAGTGTCGCATCTTGTCTGTTCTCTCCAACCAGTTGTTACTGATGCTGGAAGGGCTGGTGGCTGAAAGGAATCGGTTAAATGAGGCTCTCCAGGCAGAGAGGCAGCTCTATGGCAGCCTGGTAAAGTTTCACACACACCCAGACAGGTAAGCAAAGCTGCCTTGGCTCTGTGCTGCCCTGCTCCGCTGCTGGGGCAAGCGTTGGGTGGTTCAGTGGGGCAATCCCTGAAGCAGTGATCGTTCTGCAAGTCTGAGAGCCCTCAGTGGGAAAGAGGGAGTCTGGACAAAGAATCGGACAAATCTGGCTTTGGAAGTCCAGATTTTAGGCTGCCTTCTTCCCTTGAAGTGGCCAGCTTTAAATGCTACGTAAAGTCCCCCCATTGCCACCTCTTGTTCAGGCCCTGGGATTTCCATCTCTATTCTCTGGCTTATCCCTTCCCGGCTCAGCTTCCCACCCACTTTTGGCCACCCTTCAGAGGCTGCTGTCAAATTCCCAAGCAACTGTTGGGTTGATAAAGATCTATCTAGGTGCTTATCCAGGCGGTTGTCCCGCAGCGCAGTATGGCCTGCGTTCTCTGTCCTCCGCTCTAATCCCCTGCCCTTCGTGGGGCTACAGCCTCTGGGATATTTGAGCTACCTGATAGCAAGAGAGCACATAAGTGGAGTGCTTGGGTAAGTACTGAAGAACAGCTGTGACTAGGAGTCCCCTACCATGGGCTGGAGCCTTTTTTGGGGATGGCTGTCCTCTGGGGAGGTTTAGAGGTGAGGCAAGAGGTGGCCGAGCTGCCTGGGGAGCATGCAGAGTCTGTGCCTGGAGTAAGTGGCAGTCCCGGATGGAGGCGCCAATTTGGTGTGCACTTGCTGCAGCCTGTCTAACCCTCTTCCTTTTTGTGCGGCATGTCCGCTTAGCGCTGCGAGAGACCACACTCTGCAGGTGGAGCTGGAGGGGGTCCAGGAGCTTCGGGGACAGCTGGAAGAAGCTCTTGGAAGAAGCTTGGAGCGTTTGAGCAGGCTGGAGACGCAGGGCGCCATAGGAGGTGGGGAACAGGAGCGTGTGAGAGTCCTACCCCAGCATGCCTTCTGAGCACTGGCGCTCGCCCGCCTGCCACGGAAACGGTTCACTAACTGAGCGAGCCTGTCTCACTGACTCTGGGAGGGTTGCTTTGGTACTTAGTAATGGTACGATAGAACTGGTGCAGGGCTTTTTTGTTTTATTTTTTAGCTGCTTCGGAAACGGCGATCAGTGCAATCCACCTGTGTCTCGTGTATGTTCCTGTCTGACCCACCCTGGTGGCCACTGATGTATTTGCACATTCAAATCATTCCATTTTAGTTGATTTCCCTCCATCTCCCTTCTCCTCCCACCCCCATGGGCCAAATAAAGATTCCCTTTCTCTGAAGGAAACACCAAATGTTCTCTATCATCTCCCAAGTGCATGAGTGTGAGTTTTTGTATTCCCTCAGTTTTTGTTACCCAGTGACATCCCCCTCTTGGGTTGATGGTGGCTGGCCCAAAAGGAGAAGGTGTATATGGGAAAAGTGGGTTCAAGAGCCAGAGTATTTGAGAAGGGCCGCAAGACCTGGTGGGACTTGCCTGGGGCTCTTGCACAAGTCTCAGTGTAGAAACAACGATTCATTTTATGCTTAAACCAAATCCTGCTCCAGTATTGATGATTTTACTGACTTTTTTTTTTTCTTAATTGTAACTTGTCTCAGCCTGGCTTGCGAGTGCCTTCAAGGGAGAGCTTCCTCCTCTTTTTGACAGATGGTTTGGGGTGACTGAGACCTGTCCCTGCTCCCAGGGTCTGGGCTGGGTCTGCTCCCTCACTTGTATGCGCACATCTCACTTACAGGGTCCACGTGCCCCTTGGGCAATGGGCAGGGCCCTATTTCTGCTTTGCTGGGGACAGTCCCGCTTGGCACCACTGCATACTTTTTCTAGGGCATCTTTCACCTCCTCTGGGAGTGTTTGGTCTGGTGTGAGAGCTGAAAAACAATAGCAACAGCTTTCTGATGGCCAGTGCTTCCCATGCACAGGGGGCTATGGATCGGCTGTCTCGTACTCGATCACTTCCCAAGGTGGCAGGAGCAAATTTTGTACCTCTGAGCATCTGTTTCTGCTTGCTGGGGAAGCTGAGCTAGGAGCGAGTGGAGCAGAAGGGCTCCATCTCGCTGGGCTGCACCACCTGGACCTTTGACTGCTCTGCTGCACATCTCCTTGTGACTGTTTCACGTGGCACCACCTATTCCATGCCATGCACCCATGCTGAGGTGTTCTTTTCCCTGCCTCATACAGGGATAGGAGGCAGCGTCGCTCTCCCTTCACACGCAGCAGATCAGCACTACTCCTCTAGGTCCGCACCTAGCGGTGTGGTAAGTTCAGCAGTTCTCATGTGGCCTGAAGGGACGGCTGGTGGCTGCTGGGCAGCTCTGCTACTTGGTTAGCTTTTCCTTTCTTGTGTTTCATCTCATTCCCTTCCTCTCACTTCTCTGTGTAGCACCATCTTATCTTTCTCCTTCTGCCTCTCACTTTGTAGGAGCCTTTGTGTCCCTGTCCTTATCTTTTCACCTTCCCTCCTCCATCCTGGCTCTGATGCTGGGCTGCACCACCTGGACCTTTGACTGCTCTGCTGCACATCTCCTTGTGACTGTTTCATGTGGCACCACCTATTCCATGCCATGCATCCATGCTGAGGTGTTCTTTTCCCTGCCTCATACAGGGATAGGAGGCAGCGTCGCTCTCCCTTCACACGCAGCAGATCAGCACTACTCCTCTAGGTCCGCACCTAGCGGTGTGGTAAGTTCAGCAGTTCTCATGTGGCCTGAAGGGACGGCTGGTGGCTGCTGGGCAGCTCTGCTACTTTGTTAGCTTTTCCTTTCTTGTGTTTCATCTCATTCCCTTCCTCTCACTTCTCTGTGTAGCACCATCTTATCTTTCTCCTTCTGCCTCTCACTTTGTAGGAGCCTTTGTGTCCCTGTCCTTATCTTTTCACCTTCCCTCCTCCTCCCTGGCTCTGATGCCTGGCTGGCTCCATGGTGCCCGCGGGTACCATGGAGCCCAGGACACAGCACAGACTCATTGGTGTGGCATGAGGGAAGTCTTGGCTGGTGCTCTGGCAGCTCCCATCTCTTCTTATGTGTGTGTTTTGTTGTAGATCTGTCCCTGGCCTCTGCTAGCATCACTGCTGTAAAGTGCCCCATAGGGGACCGTTATCCTAAGCTGAGGTGTCCTAACTTTTCTGCTCTGTTCTTTAGGGCCTCTTTTCATCCCTGATATCCCTGGCTGTGCACTCCTCTGCCCCTGAGGAGGACCAGCCTGAGCATCCCATGCCTGAGAGTGCCCTCCTCAAACTGCAGTGCTTTGTGCCGTCTCATAGTTCTTTGTGGAGGTCTCTCCTTCCTCTCAATTTCCCTGGGGACCTTGCTTCCCTTCCCTTGTTCCCAGCAGTGTGAAGACTTCCAGCACAGCCAATGCACGTGGGTGTCCTGTGCCGGTGGGCCATGTGCAATTTTCAAGCCATGCAACTAATTCTCTTTGCCTTCAGGCTAGGTGTGAAAGACAGAGGAGTCTGTGAAAAATAGTGCTGGGGTTGCATCTCTTGTCTCCTTTGCTGGTAATACACAGAGAGCTGAGCAGCCCCTGACCCTTTGAATTTGCACCCTGCTGTGCTCCTGCTGCAATGGAGGGTTCAAGCACTTGGTGAACAGCAGCCTGGGCACAGTCTGCCCAACGTGCACGCTTCTCTGCTTGCCCAGCACCACCTTCCTCTTCTTCCCATTTTTTTTTTTCCTTGAGATTTGTGCTCCCTTTTTCTGCCCCAGTCCTGGAGCGCTGGGAGCTGTGCGGAGCTATGGGTGAGGGTGAGAAGTGGGGTGCTGTGTCCTGGCACAAGAGGTGGTTCTCCCATGTCCCCAGAGCAGCTGTGCTGGCTGTGAGCCACCCTGCCCACCCAGCTCGAGATCCCTGTGCACGTGGCCCTCAGCCCCCCAGCAAAGTCTGCAGCTGAGGGTCTACATCCCCTCACGCTTCGGGGCCTTGCAGCCATGTCGCCTGGCAGGCTGTGTCCCAGGGGGCTCACAGGGCTGTGCTTTGGCTATGCTGAATGCTGCCCACGGGAGCTGCTTCTTCACTGGGGTGCTGCTGCCGCTTTCAGCTGTCTCTAAGTGTTTTGCTCCCGGAACAGCGCTTCTCCGTGATGGCTGCCCTTGCTCTCTGGGGCACGGCTGCTTCAGTGAACAGGCTCCACTATGCAGGGTGATGTCTGCCCAGGCTGGGCAGTGAGGCGCCCCTGATTTTTGCAGCCTCCTGGCAGCTGCTTGTCACGAGTGGGTCTCCTGAGTGTGCCACCATCTATGTGCACGTAGTGCTGTGCAACTGCCTGCCCTGCTGCAAGGTGTGCTCCTGGCTGGTCCTCAGCTCTCCCTCCCAGGACCTGTATGCTTCCCTGCTGGCTTCTCCTTCACCAGCAATGTTTGGCCTCTCCTGCCAGGATCGCTCTGCGTTCCCCCGCTCTGTGTTCAGCCTTGCCTGGGAGCTCCAGACCTGATGGTGCTGGGTTTGGCCACGGGCAAAGCAGCTGCATCTCCTGCAGGGCACAGGCAGCTGTGAAACCTGGCCCTGCAGAGCCCCAGGGGCTGGTCTTGGGCCCTGTCCAGGCCCCTCTCTGCCTGGGGAGAAGAGGGATTGGGGGTACACCCATGCCCCAGCCCAGGCAGTCTGAGCCTAAGCAGAGTAGGCAGGGCCCTGCAGCTGGGTTGGAGGAAGGCTGCCTAGACAAGAGGTGCAAGGGGCCAGGAGCAGAGCTCTGTGCAAGCAGAAAAGCGTGCCCCCAGCTCAGCCCGTGGGGTGGGGGTGGGCCCCAGCCCCTTGTGCACTGTGGTATGGGACACAAGTGTCACTTTAGCTCTGCTGCAGCTCTGCAAGAGTAGGCGGGGCCCTGCAGCTGGGTTGGAGGAAGGCTGCCTAGACAAGAGGTGCAAGGGGCCAGGAGCAGAGCTCTGTGCAAGCAGAAAAGCGTGCCCCCAGCTCAGCTCCGTGGGGTGGGGTGGGCCCCAGCCCCTTGTGCACTGTGGTATGGGACACAAGTGTCACTTTAGCTCTGCTGCAGCTCTGCAAGGCCAGCGCAGGGCTTGCAAAGAGCCCAATGCCATGCATGGCAGCAGGGCTTGGGCAGCATGGGCAGGGTGGCTGTTGGTACCCTCCCTGAGCTGCCCCTGCCTGGGCAGGTGATCGTGTGAGGTGCACCCCCTGCACTCCTGCCAGGCTGGGGCAGCACCAGCAAGGCTCCCTGCCCGAGCACGTGCTGCTGCTGCTGGCTGTGGCTTGCAAAGTGGCTGCAGGGTGTGTGGCATGTATGCATGTGTGTTGGGGCACCAAGCACAAGGTGGTGTGAAGGCAGAGATGTGGATGGGGCAGGTGCCATTGCTGGGGTGCCATCCCCTGGGCTGCAGGCAGCTGGGACTGTCCCCTCCCTTGGTGCAGGGCCAGCACAGGGTGCTGGGTTGGAGCTCCAGCATGCAGAGAGGGGGTGGCAGGGCACAGGGACAGTGGGGAGACCTCAGTCCTGCTGGGAGTGCCCCAGCACCAGGCATGTATGAGAGCAGGCACCTGCCCCGGGGCTGCCCACAGTAGCCATGGGCATCACTAGGGAGGAGAGGACAGAGGCAGTGCCACCATTGCCACTGCTTTGAGCGCCTTGTTGTGCTGTGCTGTCCCCTAGGTCAGGCCACAGGCATAGATGCTGATGATGCCAGCACCAACCTCACTGACAGCATCAAGGAGGAGGCAGCCCACGGCGTGGCAACCCAGCACGTGAGTCAGGGCAGTGTGGCACCAGGAACAGGGGTGGCAGAGTTGGGCACTGTGCCACTGCCAGACCGTGTCCTAGCCCCTTTGGAAATGCCCCTGTCACCCTCTGTCTTTGTCCCTCTAGAGCAGCCCCCGGGCCCCTAAGGAAAGTGGGGACACTGAGAGGGCTCTGATGGGGAGCACGGCACCTGCCATGCCGGAGCGGGAGCTGCGGGCAGAAGAGGAGCTGCGGGAGCTGAAGGCACAGCTGGAGGAAGCCGGCTTCTCTTCTGTCTCCCACATCAGGCAAGAGCCCCGGATGTGGGCGCCGGCGGGTGGCGGCAGCTCGAGGGGGCACCCTGTGTCTTGGCCGCTGCCTGCCCTTCACAGTGCCGTGTGCCCCCAGAAAGGCGATGCTGAGCCTGTGCCTGGAGAATGCAGAGCTGAAAGAGCAGATGGGTGAAGCCACGTCGCTGCTGGAGAGTGGGGAGCAGGAGGAGGCTGGGCCAGGCACCCCCCTGGCCCCCGAGCCCCGCAGGCTGCAGCGGAAGAGCCGCAGCACCCTTGGGGACCACCCGGCTGGTGGCAGCAGTGATGGCCAGGGGGTCCCGGCAGAGAGGGGAACTGTGCCCGCCAAACGCCCAGCACTGGAGGCACGATCCCAGGATGATGTACCCAAGAGACCCTGCCCTGGCACCCCGGGTGGAGGGGACAGGAGCCATGTAAGTGCCCTGGGCACAGGGAACTGGGATGGGGATGGTGATGGAGGTAGGGAGCTCACAACCCACCTCCCCTCTGGCAGGCAGAGGGCACAGCCCCCAGCGGGGGCTGGCCAGGGCTGGGTGCGGAGCTGTGCTCCCAGGTGGCACAGGGCCAAAGGCAGTGCCAGGAGCTGCAGGACAAGCTCGCCGCCTCGGAGGCCACGGTGCGGGCACAAGCCAAGCAGCTGGAGAAGTACCATGTCCTGCTCCGTGAGTTAAAACCTCGGGCGGGATGGGGATCTGTGCCGAGCCTGGCGTGCCCTGTGCATGGCACTATATGTGGGGCAAGGATGGTGAATCCTGCCCAGAGGGGGACCCTGAGCTGATGGGGCTTCCCAGCAGGTGAACCCCACGCCCAGCAGCTCAGCAAGCAAGTGCAGGTGGACTTCCAGGACCTGGGCTATGAGACGTGTGGGCGAAGCGAGACCGAGGCTGACCGGGATGAGACCACCAGCCCTGGTAAGGAGAGCCAGTGGCTCCAGGGATCCCTGTGCCTTGCCCACCTGCCATGGAAAAGTGACACCATGCTCTGCCTTCTCTGCAGAGTGCGAGGAGCCAGATGTATTCAGCGAGCCCAGCCTGGGCGAGGAGCTGGGGTCCCCGTGCTGGCCAGGGATGCCCAGGGTGGGCAAGGCTAGCCGGAAAGCCATGGCACCGGCAGATGTGGGGGCCCTGCGCCAGCACATCCAGGACCTCAAGGCGCAGCTGCTCAATGCCAACAAGGTGATCCAGAGCCTGCAGCGCCGTGCCCGCTCCGTCTCCGTCACCAGTGGCTACACCTCGGGCGCTGAGCGGCCCCTACTGGGTCCCACGGCCCTGGCCTCCCCGGCCCACAGCCTCACCGACGAAGATGAGGGCTGGCAGTCGGATGGCCACGGCACCCTCTGCCCGCCTGCCCTGCGGGCGCACCGCGACCTACAGCGCCTGGTGCACCGCGTCGCCCTCCTTGAAGCGCAGCTGCCTGCAACCAAGCCTGGAGGGGTTTTGCCCAAGGAGCTGCAATCTGCCACCTGGCCAGGGTATGACTGTGGGGATCAGGGCCAGATGGGTGGCTACGAGGGTCTCCAGGGGTTGCCTAAGGTGGTGGCTTCTTGTTGTGGCTTTCCCCACAGCTGGGCTCCTGGGGTGTTTGCATGGTGGGGCAGAGCCCCAGGGGTGGACGGTGCACAGAATCCCCCATGGTACCCCATCCCTGCTGTGCTCTCTGGGGGGTTCTGGCAGCCCTGTGGACCCCCCGCTTGCCGATCCCCCCCTAGGAAGTACGACTCGCTGATCCAAGCGCAGGCTCGGGAGCTCTCCCACCTGCGGCAGACACTGCGGGAAGGCCGCGGGGTGAGCTGCAGCCTGGCCCAGCACCTGCGCGATGCCCTGCGGTCCTTTGAGGAGCTCCTCCGCGGCACCGACATCGACTACTACCTGGGCCAGGGCTTTCGGGAGCAGCTGGCCCAGGGCAGGCAGCTGGCCGAGAGGCTCAGTGACAAGCTGGGCACCAGTAAGTACCTTTGGGGGGGGGCACTGGGGCTGGGCATCGTGCGGCACGGCGGGCTGGGAAGGGATGCTTTGATGGGTGCTGTGAAGGGCTGGGGCCATTAGGACACCTTGTGTTGTGTGGGCTACCTGCTTCAACCTGGGCTGGCTCTGTTTGGGGATGGGCAGCCTGGGGCATGGGGACACTGAGTGGCTCCTCTCTGGCTTGGTTTTTCAGGAGATCGACAAGATGGGGAGGATAAAACCAGCCACGAACTCCTGGCACTGAGGTATCTGTTCCCAGGGAGGGCTTGGGGGACCTGCTCTGCATGGGCACCCTGGGGGCTATCACTGCTTTTGGGGTGAGGGTCCGGAGTGCCCTCAGGGTCTCTGCTCCAGGTGGACATCCTGTGGCTGCCTCTCCTCTGTGGATGGGGAACCCGAGGCTTGGGCTGGGCACCCCATGCCTCCAGGCAGCCTTGCAGCACAGGTGGGATGTGTTGTGTGCGGTGTCATGCGGGGAAGGGCTGTGGGATGGGGGTCACCCTGCCCTGCCAGCCCCGGTGATGGGCCACCTCCACAGGCTCAGCCGGGAGCTCCAGGAGAAGGAGAAGGTGATCGAGAGCCTGGAGGCAAAGCTGCAGGAGCGCTGTGAGTCCCCAGGCAGCAGCCGCCCGCCCTCTGAGTCGTCCCGCTCTGCCACCAGTGCCTCCTTCGTGTCCGAGGGGCTGGAGCCCTGCTCTGATGGGGATGTGGCCAGCGAGTGCAGCCAGTGCCGCGAGGAGCCCGCCCGACTCGCAGGTACCGTGGAGTGCCCGGGGGCCAGAACTGCAGGCTGGGGACGTCCAGCCCCCCTCTGTAGCTCGTTGGTCCCTGCAGCAGTAGGTGCCCATCAGGCCTGGGGGGGGCTGCCCATGGAGCACTATGCACCAACCCCAGCCTAGGGGGGGTGAGTACCCAGCACCTGGGGCTGCAGGGGAGTGTCTTGGGAAGCCTTGCTATGGTACCACAGCCCTGTAAGGCTGGGACCTGACCGGCCTCGCGTGGGCTGCTTGGGGCGTGCCAGGATCCCCAGTGCCCCCGGCGAGGAGGGGTCCCCGCCAGTCTGAGCCAGAGCCACACTAAACATCTCTCTCTCCATCTCTCTCCTGTCTCTAGGCCTTCACTTAAACTCCTTGTCCAAACCCGTTAGTGCCCCCCTGCCTGCGCTGGCCCCCGGGCTGCCCCCCTTCCTGCCTGCTGGGCCACCCCCTCCTGCGCCGCCCCCGCTCATGGGCTGCTGCGGGACCTCCGTCTGCTCCCTGGCTGAGGCACAGCAGGAACTGCAGGTGCTCCGGAGGCAGCTGGGAGAAAGTGAGCGTGTGCCTCCAGCATGGGGTTGGTCCTGCCTGCCCTGCGTGCCGTGCTGTGCTGTGCTGTGCCGCATGGCCCCTCGCCCTCTCTGACCTGCCTGTCCTTCCCTGGCCCTTCTCCTGCTACCCAGGGCTACTGCTTCGAGGTTGGGCCCCATGACTCTGGCTGGGGGATGATGGGGACACGTGGCTCTCATGTGGAGAGGACCTGGTGGGTGGGAGGGATACAGCCTGAGGCAGCACTAGCCCTTGGTGTGGGCACTTGCACATCCTAGGGCCCCTGGGAAAGGGCTGGTTTGGTTAATTGTTGTGTAGGAGTGGGGCTGAGACCCTCCAACTCGTGTCATGTAATCAGTAAGCCCTGGGAGAGCCTCTTCTGCTCTTCAGGGGGAACGGGTTTGACCAGGACAGAAGGTCAATGATGGGGGATCACCATGGGGGTACGTGGGGCTGCACTGTTGGGCAGAGTGAGAAGGGGGCAAAAAGTACATGGTGGGAGTGTGTAACCCCCAATCTTCCTCCCTACTCATTGCCCTTCTTCTCCTCACTGCTTTGCCTTGTGTGTGCAGGTGTGACGCTCCCCGTGGCACCAGCAAAGCCCACAGCCCCACTGGGCCCCTTCGGAGAGGGCAGCAAAGCTCCAGCATCGCTCTGCCGACACGGCACACTGCAGAGCCTGGCTGAGATCCCCGGGGCCACCAAGACCCGTGCCCTCTGGGACATACCCCCTCCCGGCCAGCCGCTTTACGGGGCCCTGCCATTGGGGTATCCCTCCAGCCAGAAGCTAACAGGTAAGGTCCATGCTGGAGAGCATGGGGGCATCCCGGCTGGGTGTGGGGGAACAGGGAGGAGACCTGTCACCAGAATGGCTGTGGGACATGGCTCTGGTATGGGGCAGGATAGTGGGGATGGCATGGGGCAGGCGCTACAGCCATCCCTGCCCTGAGCCTTCTCCTCAGCTGTGGCAGGGGCAGACCTGCTGGAGGAGCACTTGGTGGAGATCCGCAGCCTGCGCCAGCGCCTCGAGGAGTCTATCTGCACCAACGACCGGCTCCGGGAGCAGCTCGAACACCGCCTGGCCTCCACCAGCAAGGCCAGCGGTATGGTGCTACACTGGGGCCAGGGCTGCCAGGGAGCCCTGTGCTCTGAGGGGGGGCCAGCCTTTGCTCACCCCATTGCACGGGGAGGGCACTCACCCTGCGCATGGCGGGGTGTCGGGAGAGAGACTCAGCACCAGTGCCCCTTTGCAGGATTGCCCAGCGATGTCTATGCCCAGGGGCCGGAGCCAGGGCTGCAGCTGAGTGGGGAGAACCAGGCTCTGCGTGAGGACAACCGGACCCTGCGGCTCCAGCGTGACCACCTCTCCCAAGGTAGGGCCAGGCTACCAGCGTCCCAGGTCTGAGTCCCCGAGGGCACTGGCTGAGTGGGGTGGCAGTGACACCTCCATGGTCTCCATCCCTAGAGCTGGCGCGAGTGCAGGAGGCGCTCCTGGCTGCCTGCTCCCGGGCACGGGAGGCTGAAGCAGAGCTGGGCCAGAGGCGCGGGGAGCAGCGGAGGCTGACAGAGGAGCTTGCCGAGCGCCAAGAGAGTGTCCGGCAGCTCCGAGACGAGCGGCGCTCTCTGCAGGAAGACAACAACAGGTAAGGCTTGGGGCATTGTGGCCTTGGGGCCAGCAGGGCTGGGTGGCATGACCGGCCCTGGACTCATGTGTCACCCCTCTGCAGGCTGCAGCACATGGTGACGCTCCTGCAGCAGCAGTGTGAGGAGCAACGCCTGCTCCTGCAGACCCTGCGTGCGGAGCTGCATGTCTATGAGAGCCTCCCTGGCTCCTCCGCCGAGACCCATGCAGGTATGGGACCTGCACCCAGACCCCCCAGAGCCCATCACCAGCCCCAGCTCTTCTGCCCAGCTCCTGGTCTTGGGGTGCCTGGCCCCTTTGCAACACTTGGGCAGTCCCAAACACCTCTCCTGTCGTGGCAGCAGGGGGGACACGGTGGCCTTGCAGGCAGGCAGCAAGGGAGGGAAGGCTCTTCAGCTGCCCCAGGCATGGAGCCATGGCCGTCCACAGGGGCTCAGACGCTTCTTGTTCCAGGCTGCTTCCCATCTCCTCCAGTGCGGGATGTTGGCACGAGCTCAGCAGCTCCCCTCTTCTCCCCGCAGCCCTCTGACACGTTGGTGGCCCGGCGGATGGACGGTGGGTATCAGAGCCTGCCCACACATGTGCCTCAGGGCTGCTGAGACCTGACAAACTCGTGGCACCACCCTTGCTGAGCAGGGACAGAGAGCCCAGGGCAGAGCCAAGCCCTGGGATGGGATGGGGAGGGCCGCAGGGGGAGCAGGCAGTGGTCCTTACCCTGCCCTGCTTGTCCCACAGAGCCACGTGGGGCAGACCCACCGGTGAGGAAGAGCGAGGGACCGACAGGGGTTCATGTTGTCGGCCACCTGGACACCTACCGGGCCCTGGAGCAGCACATCCTGGAGGGGAAGGCGCTGGCCCGCGAGCTGATGTGTCTCATGCACCCAGCGCTCGGGCTGCCCAACTGCCCGCTCCCGGGAAAGGAGGTAAAGTGTGAGCAGGACGGGGCTGGCGGCGGCTGGGGGATGGACCCCGCTCTGTGGACTATGCATAAAGCGGCTCCTGAGCCCAATATCGGCCCTGAGCCTTGCAGGGCTGGCAAGCGGCAGGTAGCGTCCAGCCTGGGGGCTGTTGCTGGCACTGCCCTGCAGTGTTGGGCTGGGCGCAGCGAGTCCCCAGGTGCAGCGGGATGCAGGTGCCCCAGCAGCACCCGCTCCCGCACCCTTCTCCCACAGGACCTGGGGTGGGCAGGCACAGGGCACCTCTGGGGCAGCACCAGCACCCTGCACCGCATCCTGGAGGAGTGCGTGTCTCTCCTCGCTGCCTTCTGGAGCACCGTGCTGCCCGTCGGCCCTGCCCAGCATCAGGGCAAGGTAAGCATCGGGCCGGGGGCTGGCAGGGCGGTGGGGCTGGATGCTCACTTGCTGCTCATCACGCTCGTCTTGTCCTAGGAGCAGGCACTACAGGGTGAGATTGCGGCGCTGCGGGCCCAGCTCTCCGAGAGGGAGGATGCTCTGCAGAGCACAGCCAAGCGGCTGCGCAGCACAGCCCAGCTCAAGGACAGCATGGAGCAGTTCATTGTGAGCCAGCGTACGTGGCCCTGGTGGCATCCTACTGCGGGATGGCACAGCCAAGCCGGCCTGGTCCCCATGTGCCTGGGGTGACTCCATAGCACAGGGACTTCACTGACCCCCATCTCTCTCTCCCTCGCAGTGACCAGGACCCACAACGTGCTGCGCAAAGCCAGGACAAACCTGGAGGTGAGTTTGCCCTGGCAGCCAGCGTGAGCTAGGGGTGGGTGCCCCTGCCCTGGTGAGCCCTGATGCCCTGGGGATGGGCACAGATGGCAGACACCTATGCTCTGCCAGCAGAGCGGTGGCTGATGGGGGGGGGATGCTGACGGGCCAGCTGGGTGTAGCGTGTGGGTGGGGGGGGCACACAGGGACATTTTCCTTGGCTGTCCCCAGCCTCCGTGTCCATGTCCCCAGGGCACAGCAGTCCTCCGGTGCAGGCCTGCCTTGGCAGTGCTCCCCCTTATTGCCACACATGCTCTCTTGCCAGGTGAAGGCCCAGCAGGCCCTGTCTGTCGCGTGAGCCCCAGGCAGGGCAGGGAGTGATGCCCCCGGCCACTGAACAGCCTGCTGGCTGCCGAGCCATGCCATGCCGGAGGGCTGGAGTGGACCCTGTCCCTGCTACTCCAAGGGCTGGGGTGGACAGGGGTCTGGGGTGCCCGGTGCTACACAGTTAGTGGTTTTGGGCTGCTTTGGTTGTCACATGCCCTCCACCTGCCTTTGCCTGGCATCGCAGCAGCAGCTGTTGGCTTGGGCTTTGCCATGCTTCAGTGCTCAGCCCTTTCCACCCACGGTGCTTAGAGTGGGGCGTCACAGCCCTCCACGCTGTGCACCTCTCGCCCTGGGACTTGGTCCCATTTGTAACCCTGCTACGTACCCATCCCTGCTTGTAGATGTATGTATATGTATATAGATAGAGGTATCGGAGCTGCGTTTTGGGGGCTCCCCGGGCATGTCGGGGCCCCAGCGCGGGAGGAAGATGTAAGAAATGCCATGTTCTGTTCAGTGGTTGGAGAGTCCCCAATAAAGGTTTCCTTTGGGTTGTGGTGTTTCTGGCATACCCATCTCTGCAGCTGTGCTCCCCCCTCCCCAAGCTACCCACAGCGCAGGGTGCCATAGGCACCAGCTGGCCCCAAGGGGGTGGCTCTGAGCTCCACCCCAGCACCCCAAGGGCAGCTCTGCACCCCACCGGGTGCTCCCTTCCCTCCCCTCGCTGCTCCAGAGTCCCCCACCAACACCAGGCCAGCAGCACTGAGAACAATAAATACTGTAATAAATAGAGAAAACGCTGTCACGTGGCACTGCTCTGGCAGCAGGCGGTGTAGCCGGGGTTCTGGGGTACCTGCACTGCTCCGCTCTCCCCAGGCCCCCTCCAGCATGGGCGTGTGCAGGTGCTCCTCTGGCTGTGACGGTCAGCCCTGCCCCACAGGAGCACTCCATGTTGGGGACGGGGCATGCATTCAGTCCTTGATGTTGCTGTCCCGGCGGCAGGTAAGCACGGCTGCGTCCAGCTGTACCCTCCCTCCCACTGGCTCAACACTGAACCTGGCAGAGGGCTGGGGCTGCAGGTAGCCAGAGCTGAGAGCCCTCCTTGAAGCTGGGGAGCACAAGGAGGGGGGCAGCCCCACACTCAGGGCTGCGGGACAGGGGTCAGGCTGGGGTGTCCCAGAGCCCCTAGGGATCAAGGTGGCCTTGGAGGCTCATCACCAGGACAGCAGAGCAACCTTCAGCAGGTAGGACACGTTCCTGGAGGCCTGGGCTGGGGGCAGTGCCAGGACCGCCGTGGAGCCCTTGCAGGCTGCAGAAGACAGGTAGTGTGAAGCCCTTGCCATGTCAGGCGCAAGGAAAGGCTATTCTGGTGAGCAGCCAACAAAGTGGCCCCAGAGACTCACAGAAGCCAAGGGAAGCTGTAGGTGGGCAGAAACCAAGGGTTAAATCAAACCACACCAGTAGGATGGGACAGTGTCACAGGCCCCAGCGGCCTTGGGCTCATTGCTGGGGCCTGTGTCCCTGCCAGGTTCAAGGCTGGAGCCAGTGGCCAGTTCTCACACAGTCCCGTGGCCCAGTGTGTGCAGACAAAGCGGTGTTTCGTGTCCTGCGTGGGGGGTGGGCGAGGCCCCGGCTCAGATGGGCTTGTACAGCAGCGTGGTGACGTACTTCTTCTTGTAGCGGTGCGTGGCACTGAGCACCATCACACCATCCTGCGAGAGGCACAGCGTCAGCAGGAGCAGGTGGGAGAGCTTAGCGCAGCCTGGCTGCGCTGGCTCGGGAGCGCGGCACCCCCAAGGCAGCCGTTGGGAAGAGGGCTCTGCGGGCTGGGGAGCAGCCCCAGCCCGTCCCTGCTGTCCCAAGCCTCACAGCCAGCAAGACACGTCCAACACCCACGACAGGGAGCCAGGGCAGAGCGAGGGAAGGGGCTGGTACGCAACAGGAGAGCCTAGGGCTACCCAGCTCCACCACACTGTGGGGAGGCAGCTACAGGGAACTAGGGGCTGTAAGGAGACTACAACCTACATTCCTGCGTGTGCCACACTTCACTGGGCAGCCAAGCTGTCCTCGTGTGGGTCCTCCCATCCCTGCACCACTGTCTCCACCCCACGGCTGTCCAGGTTCTGATCCTTGCAGGTGCTGCAGGCTCCTGGGAGCCACAGCAGCTCCCCTTCCCTCATCCAGCGGTCTTGCAGGACCTGCCCTTACCTTGATGGAGAGCGCATAGAGGTGATTGAGCATGACGTGATTGGGTTCGGGCAGCAGTGCTGGGTCACACTAGGACAAGAGGAGCGTCACAGGGGAACAGCAGAGCCCTGATCCCCCCAGCCCCAGCCATCACAGGGAGCTGCCATCTCAGGCAATCTGAGCTGCTGGTGTCTCTGGCTGTTCTGAACAGGAACAGAGCTCAGCTAAGCACCAGGCAGAGCAAGGGGCCAAACCAGAGTGGTTAATGTGAAAAGTGATGCTTTTCCCAGTAAATGGTAAGGTCCAGGCACCAGCCAAGGGGAGATCAGGCTCCCTGCAGACAGGACTCCCCTTCCAACCCCAGTGTGGCTCTCTGTGTGCAGGCAGTATGCTGGTACCCACCGAGATATTGGTGTCCTTGTTGAGGATGACCTGGAGGAGGTGAGGCGGGAGGATGGGTGGGGATTTGAAGCGCTCCTCGGGCCGGTATACATACATCTCTTGGCCGTAAGGACCAGGTGGTGAGCTTGATAAGTCTAAAGAGAAGAGACGGGAGGAGACATGAAATGGCTAAAACAGGACTGGCGAGCACAGAGCAGCTCCCAAAATGCTGAGAAGGACCCAGCAGGGTCTTTCAGGCACAAACATCGTCCATGAGCCATGGCCATGTATTCTGTAGCAACAGCTCAGCCTTTTCACAGAGGAATAAGCAGCCAGGCGAGCCCTGGGCATTTCCAAGCAGGGCTGTAAGCTGGTATGTGCATTGACACAACACAAGCACCCTGTGGTATCCACCCCAAGACCCCGGCGCACGGCTTTCAGCACAACTGGGTCCCTCTCCCTGCAGCAAACAGCCAGCTTGCCCCAGAGCTGTACCCTTTGCAGCAGGGGCACAGCAAGCAGCACTCCTGCATGCTCTCGGTGCTGCAGGACTGCCTGGTGAGGAGGTCCCAGAAAGGGCAAATGGGAAGTCCAAACTGAGCAGCTGCTCAGCCCGTGTGAGGGACCGCAGGAGCTTGTGGTCACTGGAAGCTGGACTGGCCTATCTCCCAGCCACACCTGATCTGTTTCGGAACAGCCAGCACCCAGAAGCGCTCCACCTCCCTGGAGCTCCTGCTGCTTGCTGGCTTTTTTCCAACAAAGTATCTCCTGCCCAGGCTGGGCAAGGACGTGGAGCTGAGGCTATATCTGAGACGGGGTTTGTAGCAGGGACAGCAGGCCGCACTCAGAGCGTCCTGGACTGAAACACGACTGAGCTATCTGCCGGCATTATACACCGAGCCAGCACTGCTGGTGTCCGCATGGTAACCTAACCTGCTGCTGTAACACAAGTGGAGAGGGAGGCTTCTGATGTGCTAGCACTAGTACAAATTACCTTGGCATGAAAACAAAAGAGTGGCTGCTGAAAATAACCTGGATCCTGCTCTCGCCTAGCTTGTACCCCAGATCAGATGACTTACTCACAGTTGAGCAGACAGAAAGGGGTGATGTTCCCGGCATTCACCAGTCTGAAATGGCTGCCTCAGCCGCGCACAGGCACTGACCCTGCTTCTGGGATGGTGCTAGCACAGAACGAGTTACACCAGCACAGCCCCTCCATGGAGACGAGGCCTCAGCTGTGGGCTGCCAAGGACATGCTGCCAAATACTACTCTTCCCGGGTGCAGGCCCACACCTCTGCTCAGGGGGTCTCTTCACCCCCAGAGCAGTGAGTCTCAAAGCAGAGGAGGTAGAAAATAGCACATGCAAAGCTGTAATGCCACAAAAACTCACCCCGACCTGAGGTTTCTGAGCTCTCCAGGGAATCCACCTTCAAAGCATCGAACACCTCGAAGTCAGATTTCTTGACGTGAATCAGGTTATTAATCGTCCCCATCTGGCTGGTGACCACAGGCTGGAGAGAACTGAGGTAAGAGTCTTCCTATGTTCACCTCCAATCGAAGCACACTCAATGCTTCCTAGATCCTCCTGGCCCAAGCTGTCTTTGCTGCACCATTACCTCAGAGCACAGGTGGCCAGTGTCTAGCTCTGCTCTATGCTTGCAGATCTCCACTTGCAGATTTCCCTTTACTCCCAGGCTCCTACATCACCTCCTATTTTCATCCTCCATCCTGCTACATGCCGATGGTAAGTATCCTCTCCTTCCCATGCTGCTACCATGTGATTCAATTTGGAGGAGAACCTGCAACTGAATGCTGACCCCATGGCCTGTCTTCCCATGTAGTCAATTCTGAATGGGGCTTAAAGGCCTTCTGGTGGTTTCCCTGCCCCTCAGTACCTCCCCGACACTCCCCCATACAGCTTGTCTAAGCCCAGAGGAACCAGCCTCTGAAAGGACTCACGCGATGGAGATGCCCCTTTCGTTTTGGCAGATACCCTCTGCTCTTCCTGCTCCCCCTCTGCTGCAGTTACATCATGTCTAGTCCCCTGAAGAGGGCAAGATCTGCAGGGATAAAGCTTTGAGAGTTACCTCAGATGGGTCATGGACCCATTGGCCATCCACAAAAAATTTGTACTGGTGCTCTCCTTCTGGGAGGTCCAGGATAGCGACAAAGTCATTGTGGCTGTGCAGAGAGAACAGACGTGCAACAGCATTACCCTGGTGATGCTCTGGATGCTGCTCTTCCATGGGGTCCCAGAAAACGGCACTTTTTCACATACTGCCCAGCCCCTCCACCCCAACACCTGCATGCAGAGTTAAGCTTGTTCATCGTCAGTGATCTGAAGCATGGATACAACAGGCGCGAGCGTTCAGAGCACTAGCTCTAGGAGTCCAGCCGCAAGGAGTGCAAGAGGCAGTCCAGCCCTGCACACCCAGGGAAGGTCGATGTGACAGACACTCTGTGCAAGACACACTGGGAAGGATGCATGGGCGAAGCATCTAACCCTGCACTGGCACTGCAGGATGGGGGCAGCAAGCGTAGCAGCTCTGTTAAGCCTGCAATTGAGATAACCCATTCCAGATGATTTGCTGGGATTATGCCCACAGTCCTACACAGTGTTTCCATGAAAATCACAGATGTGTTGCAGAACAGCGAGAACATCATTAGGGCAGGAAGACACGTGAGGGATAAACAACCAACCCCCGCTGGCAACAACACAACTAGGCACGGGGTAAGGCCACAGCCAAGGGAAGAGCTGACAGCTTCCAGGGGACTGCTGCATACCTGGGCAGGGCTCTGCTGCCAGGATTAGCTGCTGTGTGATATCCACCTGGGCAAGCAAAGTGGCCCATCCTGTCCTGTCCCTCTGTTTCACAACTTCCCACAGCCACAGCAGCACCACCCAGGGAAGAAGCTGACTATGTATTTGTGCTCAGACCCTCCAACTTGGGTGAACTGAGAAAAGCCAGGTGAGCAAAGGGAACAGCAACCAGCACAGAGAAGGGAAAACACTCCCTGCAATGGAGCAGAGGAGAACATAGGGTGACTTGAGGGACTGGCTACCTCTTGATGAGTGGGATCTTGGTGCTCCAGTTATTGAAAGATCCGGAGATGAAGACCTCTTTGCCTCCATCGGCCCAGCGGATGACAGTGGGACGAGCCTGTTGGGACGGTTTCACTGACTCCTCCAGATCTGGCTGCCATGACACAAACTCCTTGTCCCCAGGAATCTGAGCAAAGAAAACCAGAGCCTGACTGAGACACAGAGACAACCGGGACCACATTTATCTCTCCCTGGCCTCTACCAGCCCACCTGCACATCCCAGACAAGAACATCGCAGAGCTCCTCCAGCCTCCCAGCTCTCTACAGACCCCTCACATGGTTGGGACTGCAGCCCCGCACAGCCAGTGAGCTGAAGCCCCAGCCAGGGCCCCAGAGGGCAGGACAGGGAAGGCAGCAGCTAGCCCCTACCTTGGAGTCATGGGAGCTGAAAACATTGGGGTCGTCGGTGCTGCCCACCATGATCTTGTGCGGGTGCTCCTTGGCAGGGTGGGGGGCACCGGAGCCATCCGAGCGGTGGGACTTGGAGCCATGGCGCTCCCCAGACACTCGCTCACTGGTGGTGTTCCCCATGACAGCTCAGAAGCCCCTGTGACAGAGAGAGGACATCAGTGTGCCTGTGTTCATGGGCTCCGGCAGCAAGGAGAGGAGCAAAGGCGCTGCTCCCCAATGCTCTTTGCCAGGGGAGACTGACAGCAATCCTAAAAAAGGCCCAGAGTTCATTCCCACTGCCAAGTTTGGGAGCTGAAGGGAAATTTAACAAGCAAGACAGCTTGACCTAATTATAGCCATAGCCTTATGAACCATCACTCTAGTTAAGCTGGTAATTGTTATACTCCAAAACCGATACTAGTTATGCTGCATCCCACACAAGCCCTCAGTAGCCGGCACAGTAGAGGGGCTGATGGGAAAAATAAAGCCAACCTTTATTGGCAAATCAATTGCTTGGCGTTAACAGAGCCTCTTTCACAGTCCCACAGTCAGGCTCTACAGGCAAATCCCCTATATCCAATAAGAAAACAGCCGGAGAGTGAAAGTAGCAGCTGTTTAACAGCTCCCAGCAAGTCTCCAAGAGCTCACAGACAGAAGAGTGGAGCCTTGCGCCTGGCAGAGGCAACAGGAGCGTTTAAAGTGTCCGAGTGGAATCACCCAAGCTGGAGCTTGGCCAAGGCGTGGGGCTAATGCCATGGTGTCTGCAAAAAGCTCAGCTCTCGACAGCATTCACTTATGATTCACCAGGCAAGCCACCATGTCAGCTGTGGCACAGCGCAGGCGAGGAGGTCTGCTTGTTGTGACCCTAACCAGCGGTACCATGCCGTGCATTCCGGTGTCTGCCCGGCCATCCGGAGGCACACGACGAGGGAAAGGCAATCCCAGCCGCCTCAGTGCCACTCTGCAGCTGGAGATGGGCTGTCATCCCCGATCTCACCTAGCTCAGAGAAGGCAAAGTAGAAGAACTGGCCATACAGCGCCAAGCCATGAACAACTACACACCTCTCAGGATAAACAACAAAGCCACCACAAGCTACATGGGACTCTTCAGGCCTTACCCAGTTTCCAGCAGCTGAAATGGATCAGGGTTCTTGCCCCCTTCCCAGGCTTATTTTGCAGCTTTCAGCTTACCGCACTGATCACGGGCTCTGCAGGGCAAGGCAAGAGGACAGCCAGCCTTGCTTCATGCACTTAGTTGTGACATTTGAAGATTTGTTTAGAAGATCAAGTTATATGAAGGGTGCCAGGCAAGGCTGCCAGCCAAAGCCAGGCTTTAGAACATTACAGAGCAATTACTAAAGTATTTCTTAAATCCTGAGGGCTAAAAGGCAGCTCGAGAGGACAGCTAACCCATACCTCCACCCCCTCTCCTCTCAGTGAAGATCAAGTGTACTTGAAGATCCAGGTTAGATGAGCTGCACCACTTGCTCTGACATCTTCCCCCTCTGCCCCAGAGGAGGCTCAGCTGGCTCCTCACAAAACCTGCCCCTGCGCCACTAGACCTGCTGTTGAGGAGCTTCTTCCCCAGTATCTCCGCTAAGGCTCCCTTACTTCCCATCTACGGGGAAGAAGGTAGGAAAGGCTGAACATCCTCTTGTACCAAGACAGACCTGAGAGATACGTGCAGGTGTTAACAGATGTGAAAGCTTCCCTTTCTCTTCTCTAAAAGAAATCCAGTCCCTCTGGCTATCCCTTACAGGTCACGCTCTCCAAACGCCTCCTGAGGTTTCTCCCAAGCGGTGGCTCCTTTCTGGCACGTGGCATCCAAAACCCTGTGCAGACAAGACCACCCCACCTCCTGCATCGTGCACGCAGGCACCCTGCCGCGCTGGGACAGCGAGCTCTTTGAGCATAGCCTGCAGTACTTGGTTTTACTGAATTAACTTCTACAGCTCAAACCCTCCTGCGTTCAGACAAGCCCTTGTAGCACAGCATGCTCTGATGGTGTGACACAAGTACATCCAAGTCACTAATGGAAACGCTGCCCATACCAAAGCCCAAGCAAACCTCTGCAGCATCTCAGCGTATCTGCTCCCAGTTTGACAGCAAGCCGCTGCCAGCTGCAGTCCGTGGTAAGATGGGTGCCTGCTGGCCCGACCACAAGGCCCCTTCAGTTTCACCCAGCCTCACCTCTCCACTTTGCTTCTGAAAATGACATGCAAAATACACCAGTTCCCCCTGAAATGTGCGACACTTGCTGCCTCTCCCACCCAGCCAGTGACCCGCACCAGGATACACTGGCAGCCAGCCTGAGAGGGTTTATTTTGGAGAGCCGGGGTCTCTGTTCAGCACCCTCAGTTGCCCACAACCTGCTCGGCTAACACCTCCTGGTGCTGGAGTTACCCAGGGAAGCCTGATTCGCCTGGACTCGCCCACCTCTTTCGGAGAAGGGAACCAGAGCTCAGCCATGAGGTTGCTGTAAGGTTAAGGGGATGAGGTGGGAAACCGGGGAAAGTCTCCCTCCCCCGGACTCGTGCCAAGCAGGCATGGCTGGGACGAGGGCTTTGCAAAGCCCACGGGGCGGGGGCAGGGCTGTCACGGCACACTCGGCCCACGGCTGCCCGCTCCCCTTCCCCGCCAGGTCACAGTGAAGCGGTGTCTGCCATGGCCCTGAGGAGAAGCGGGCCGCACCGGCAAGGGACAGGGCCCTCCCGAGGGGCTCCTAGCCGGCTGCAAGGCACGGCTGGGGTCACCCACGCCAGCGGGGTCCGGGCCACCGCTGCCCACCGCAGTGTCACCCGTGGGGACGCCCAGCCAAGCCTCACCCACCACCTCCCGCAGCAGCGCCCGGCCAAGCAAGGCCCGGCCAGCTGCCACCCACCCACCCACCTGCGGCCTGGCCAGCCGTGACACCCCGCT